GTCACTGTGTAAATCAATGGGTCTCTATGCGAGTCTATGGGTCCCTGTGTAAATCAATGGGTCTCTATGCGAGTCTATGGGTCACTGTGTAAATCAACGGGTCTCTATGCAAGTCTATGGGTCCGTGTGTAAATCAATGGGTCTCTATGCGAGTCTATGGGTCCCTGTGTAAATCAATGGGTCTCTATGCGAGTCTAATGGTCCCTGTGTAAATCTACGGGTCTCTATGCGAGTCTATGGGTCCCTGTGTAAATCAACGGGTCTCTATGCGAGTCTATGGGTCCGTGTGTAAATCAACGGGTCTCTATGCGAGTCTATGGGTCCGTGTGTAAATCAACGGGTCTCTATGCGAGTCTATGGGTCCCTGTGTAAATCAATGGGTCTCTATGCGAGTCTATGGGTCCCTGTGTAAATCAGCGGGTCTCTATGCGAGTCTATGGGTCCCTGTGTAAATCAACGGGTCTCTATGCGAGTCTATGGGTCCGTGTGTAAATCAATGGGTCTCTATGCGAGTCTATGGGTCCGTGTGTAAATCAATGGGTCTCTATGCGAGTCTATGGGTCCCTGTGTAAATCAACGGGTCTCTATGCGAGTCTATGGGTCCGTGTGTAAATCAACGGGTCTCTATGCGAGTCTATGGGTCCGTGTGTAAATCAATGGGTCTCTATGCGAGTCTATGGGTCCCTGTGTAAATCAACGGGTCTCTATGCGAGTCTATGGGTCCCTGTGTAAATCAACGGGTCTCTATGCGAGTCTATGGGTCCGTGTGTAAATCAATGGGTCTCTATGCGAGTCTATGGGTCCCTGTGTAAATCAACGGGTCTCTATGCGAGTCTATGGGTCCGTGTGTAAATCAACGGGTCTCTATGCGAGTCTATGGGTCCCTGTGTAAATCAATGGGTCTCTATGCGAGTCTATGGGTCCCTGTGTAAATCAACGGGTCTCTATGCGAGTCTATGGGTCCCTGTGTAAATCAACGGGTCTCTATGCGAGTCTATGGGTCCCTGTGTAAATCAATGGGTCTCGATGCGAGTCTATGGGTCCGTGTGTAAGTCTTTGAGTCTCTTCGTGAGGCTGTGGGTGTGTATGCAAGCGTATCCAATCAAAACATGATTTGACGATGCTGATGTGTTGGCAGCGGCGCAAAATGACAAACGCTCAACACATTCGATAATAACACTGGTTATGTAAGTCTGTGTTTAAACGTGATTTTACATAAGCCTACGAGTTCCTACGTAAATTTATGCAAGTCACAGTTTATTTATCAGGTTATGTCGGTACAGTATATGGGTAGTATGCGACGATGGTTGTTTATGTAAGCCTACGGTCTTTATGTAAGTCTATGCATCTGTATGTACAGTACGTCTATGTGTCTAAGGCTATATGGGTCTGCGGGCCTATGGGTCTGTGTGTATATACAGCAGCACATATGGGAATAGAGGTGGGACTTGTATTTTTGTAACTTATTTACGCGCCATCCGATTGGTGGGTCAATTAAATTGATAATCGATTTAGTAATGAAATCCAGTACTTAATGGGATATCCCAGCTCTACAGGGACTCCCCGACTTACAAACATTCGATTTACGAACTTTCATAGATACTAACAAACCTGGTCCGTATGTCTAATTGCCTGTCCGGACCGAGAGTCGTAAGTTAAACCACCGCGCAATAGATGGTGGTGGTGGTACATCTGCAGAACGTGAAGAACCAGTGGCATCTACATCTACAGAATATGAATAACCAGTGGCATCTACCTCTATAGAATATGATGAACCAGTGGCATCTACATCTAAAGAACATGAAGAACCAGTGGCATCTACATCTAAAGAACATGAAGAACCAGTGGCATCTACCTCTATAGAATATGATGAACCAATGGCATCTACATCTACAGAATATGAATAACCAGTGGCATCTACATCTAAAGAACATGAAGAACCAGTGGCATCTACCTCTATAGAATATGATGAACCAATGGCATCTACATCTACAGAATATGAATAACCAGTGGCATCTACATCTAAAGAACATGAAGAACCAGTGGCATCTACCTCTATAGAATATGATGAACCAATGGCATCTACATCTACAGAATATGAATAACCAGTGGCATCTACATCTAAAGAACATGAAGAACCAGTGGCATCTACCTCTATAGAATATGATGAACCAGTGGCATCTACATCTACAGAATATGAAGAATCAGTGGCATCTACATCTAAAGAACATGAAGAACCAGTGGCATCTACCTCTATAGAATATGATGAACCAATGGCATCTACATCTACAGAATATGAATAACCAGTGGCATCTACATCTAAAGAACATGAAGAACCAGTGGCATCTACCTCTATAGAATATGATGAACCAGTGGCATCTACATCTACAGAATATGAAGAACCAGTGGCATCTACATCTAAAGAACATGAAGAACCAGTGGCATCTACCTCTATAGAATATGATGAACCAATGGCATCTACATCTACAGAATATGAATAACCAGTGGCATCTACATCTACAGAACATGAAGCACCAGTGGCATCTACATCTGCAGAATATGAAGAACCAGTGGCATCTACATCTACAGAACATGAAGAACCAGTGGCATCTACATCTACAGAACATGAAGAAGCAGTGGCATCTACATCTGCAGAATATGAAGAACCAGTGGCATCTACATCTACAGAACACGAATAACCAGTGGCATCTACATCTACAGAACATGAAGCACCAGTGGCATCTACATCTGCAGAATATGAAGAACCAGTGGCATCTACATCTGCAGAATGTGAAGAACCAGTGGCATCTACATCTACAGAACATGAAGAACCAGTGGCATCTACATCTACAGAACATGAAGAAGCAGTGGCATCTACATCTGCAGAATATGAAGAACCAGTGGCATCTACATCTACAGAACACGAATAACCAGTGGCATCTACATCTACAGAACACGAATAACCAGTGGCATCTACATCTGCAGAATATGAAGAACCAGTGGCATCTACATCTGCAGAATATGAAGAACCAGTGGCATCTACATCTGCAGAACATGAAGGAGCAGTGGCATCTACATCTACAGAACACGAATAACCCGTGACATATACGTCCACAGCAGATTATACACATTCTAATACCATTCACCGTGTTTAGTGTACACGGTGTACACCATGTTTGGAATCGACAGGAGCACAGTTGGACTTTCGAACAAATCGACTTACGAACAGACCTCTGTAACCTAACTCGTTCGTAACTATAGGAGCTCCTGTACTTGGTTCTGAACGACTACCACGTGCACTCACAGAGAGGTTAATTCATGTTGTCAGGAGGGTCCTGCAACGTTTTCGCAGTCGTGGGGGCGAGGTTTGCCATGTTGAATAATTGAGTAATTTACGATTACATTTTCAGTATTGTTTGCTTATATTGTGGCGATGTGCTCACGGTTAATACGACCGCAGGTATTAACCAGGGGGCCGCCGCTGTAGTTCGAACCGTGGAGTCTCTGCAAAACGACAAGGGCCACATCACCACCGCCCGTCGCACGCAGCGATGAGAAGATGCCTGAATGTTGAAACCCGGTCCAGAGTTTGGCTTTATTGCTGAAATTACGCACTCCCAGAAGGTTAATGGGACGTGTTGTTTTTTAAAAACTATACATTAAAAAAAATTTGCTGGAGGGCTATAGCTATGGGAATCATACTTATCGTGTATATTTTCCACGACGAAATATATTTATTTTCGGAGATGATACAGTGAGCGTCGTGGTCCTCATTTTCTGTGGCGGGGGGCGAGATGGCTGGCGCCTTCAATAATTGAACAGGGTAATATGACACCGGCTTAACCAGTGTGTGTGTGTGTGCGTGCAACGTTCAGTGAGTGAGTGGGGGCCGTGCATGGATTATTCAGAGGGAGTGGTGTGTGGTAATGGGGTATAATGGAGGGCTAAAGGAACGAAGCTCACAACAACGAGCGGAGCGACCGGGGCGGTTAAAACGCGACAAATTTGGCACAGTCTGGAGCACAGGTGGGGCATCTGGCGGTCATCTCAAGTGAAGGTCAACCCGAAATACCTGGCTGGGTCTGTATCGCGTGACCTCCTGCCGGAGAGCCTTCCACACCGCACGTTGCTTCAAGGTGCACCTAGCCTGGCACAAGCGCCGTCATGACGTCGCCGTCAATAGCGGAAAGGCGGTTGTTGTTGTGTGTACGGGCGGCATAGGAGTGCATGTCCATGGATGTACGTCTGCGTATGGATATACTGTACTGCATTATTTTTGTACACGTGGGGAGCGGTGGTGCAGCGGTTAGCGCGCTGCGCTCCGAACCCGGTGACCCCAGTTCGAATCCCGCTCACGGCCAACACCGGTGACGATTATCTGAACCTGTCCTGGACATCCCCTAGGTCGACTCGGCCTCAAATGAGTCCCTGGTGCGATGTGTAAGTATTTCCGCAAGGGAGACAAAGACGGCCGGGCGTGATGCTGGCCACCCACCACTTCGTGTGCCGTTCCGGCCTTCATAGGTGCTCGCTCACAGCACTTGCCCCTACAGTCTGTTCAGGCTATATGGGGGATCTTTGTCTTTTTGTATTTAGGGAAATGCAAGGATGTTGCATGTCTGTGGCTGCCTCCGGGTGTTGTAACACCGCCTTAAAATTAATTAAGATTCCGTATGTCGCACAAATCGTAGCAACAAAAATAGTATTCGTACAGTAGTAATTTTCCAGCTGACGACCGATACAACTGGTGAATATATTAGCCGGTCCTGGGCCACGCCTAGGTCGACTCAGCCTTAAATTAAGACAAAGGCGGCCCCCGGGGGCGTGATGTGCTGGTCAACAGTCCACGCCACTCCCCTCGTGTGCCGTGCCGGCCTTCGTAAGTGTCCGCCAGCAGCACTTGCCCCAGCAGTCTATTGAGGCTACACGGGGGATCTTTGGCTGTGTGTCTCTCTACGGGGGAGTTGCCGGGTGCGGTCCCCGTGATTCAGCCGAGATCCCGTCTGAATGACGGCACAGAGAGAGAGAGAGAGGGGGTTCTGTGTGAGAGAGAGCGTCAGAGAGAGAGGGTGGAGAGAGAGAGAGAGAGCATCAGAGAGAGGGTGGGGAGAGCGTGAGAGAGAGAGCGTGTAGAGCGTCAGAGAGAGAGAGAGCGCACGGGAAGAAGAGAGAGCGTGAGAGAGAGTGGAGAGAGAGAGATCATCAGAGAGAGGGTGGGGAGAGCTGTGTGAGAGAGAGAGGAGAGAGTGGAGAGAGAGCGTGAGAGAGAGAGCGTGGAGAGCGTCAGAGAGAGAGAGAGAGCGCACGGGAAGAAGAGAGAGCGTGAGAGTGGAGAGAGAGAGAGCATCAGAGAGAGGGTGGGGAGAGCTGTGTGAGAGAGAGGAGAGAGTGGAGAGAGAGGAGAGTGCAGAGTGAGCGTCAGAGAGAGTGGAGAGAGAGCGTGAGAGAGAGAGAGCGCACGGGAAGAAGAGAGAGCGTGAGATAGAGTGGAGCGAGAGTGCATCAGAGAGAGCGTGAGAGAGATTGCAAAGAGAGCGTGAGAGAGAGCGTCAGATAGAGAGAGAGTGAAGAGAGCATCACAGAGAGAGCGAGAGAATCAGTCGGAGTAGACGTGCAGAAGAGAAGAGAAGATTTAGCGGAGAGAGACAGAAGCGAGAAGAGTGAGCGAGTGTGGATCAGCAGCAGCAGGAGGAGCAGCAGGAGGAGGAGGTGCTGACTCAATCCCTGCAGCAGCCCAGGTCAGCATCACCCATCAATGCCCTCTCTCCATCTCTCTCTGGCCGCCTGTCAAACAAAACCATCATCCCACGTGTGTTTCAGTGTCTGTGCAAGGGACGCTGCGTCTATAAACACAAGGGCGGGTCTTGTGTTTATAGACATCGAGAGGTTTAGAGGTAACTTCCGAAACTGATGGTTGGGTTGAGGGTCTTGGAAGGGTCGTTTGACCATACTTCACCCCGTAGGTCGGTGCTAAGTTGGACGAAGAGCGAATCTGATTCAACGCTCGTTCGCTGATTGCTATCAGCGGCCGGCGAATTGAACTTGGGTTGGGGGGAGGGTGATGGTAGGGTAGTAGTGAGGTTGTGGTGGTGGAGTGGTGGTGGAGTTGTGGTGGTGGTGTTGTGGTGGTGGTAGTGAGGTTGTGGTGGTGTTGTAGTGTTGTGGTGGTGGTGTTGTGGTGGTGGTGGTGTTGTGTTGGTGGTGGTCGGGTGGTGGTTTGGTAGTGAGGTTGTGGTGGTGGTGTTGTGGTGGTGGTGTTGGTGTTGTGTTGTTGGTGGTTGTGTGGTGGTGGTATTGTGGTTGTGGTGGTGTGGTAGTGGTGTGGTGGTGTTGTGTTGGTGGTGTGGTAGTGAGTTTGTGGTGGTGTTGTGGTTGTTGTGGTTGTGGTGTTGTGTTGTGGTGGAGTTGTGGCTGTGTTGTGGTGGTGGTGTGGTAGTGAGGTTGTGGTGGGGTTAAACCGGCAGCGCGCTAACCGCTGCGCCACCGCTCACCGCCCCGGCATTTAAACTGCGACACTTTTTAACCGGCGGCCGCAACGCGTCGCTTCAGCCTCCACCTGTCACCCGCGACGTCCGAGTTCGACTCCAGGACCACCACGTTCGAGCTGATCAACTCCGCTGCACACCGGAGTGGTGAAGTATGGTCAAACGAACGCCACGATCGGAGGGGTGAAGGTCATTCATTCAGCGGTGGACTTTGCAATCGTGCCAAATAAATAATAATAATGGTCTTGTTGTTGTTGTTGTTGTACACGTTATGTTTCGCATGGTAGATTATAGTAACTTACCGTGTCAAATCATACGGGTTAAGCCCGTATTTTTTGTACAGGGAAATTGATTTTTCAGGTCCATACTGCGTACAGCCGTTTCAATGCGGGCAAAAAAAATGTCTATTTGTGTTTCTCTCCTTGTGATGGCACTTTGTAGGATGAAGTCGAGATTTGTAAGGGCAGTGAGGTCTGAATTGTGAGGTCTGAATTGGTCTGTAATAAGGGAGGCATGTGTGTGAGTGGGTCAGTGTGTGTGGGTTAGTGGGTAAGTGTGTGGGTGAGTGAGAGTGTCGGTGGGTGAGTGTGTGGGTGACTGTGTGGGTGAGTGTGTGGGTGGGTTATTTCGTGGCTGAGTGTGTGGGTGGGCGAGTGTGTAGGTGGGTGAGTGTGTGGGTGACTGTGTGGGTGAGTGTGTGGGTGACTGTGTGGGTGGGTTATTTCGTGGCTGAGTGTGTGGGTGAATGTGTAGGTGGGTGAGTGTGTGGGTGACTGTGTGGGTGAGTGTGTGGCTGAGTGAGTGTGTGGGTGAGCGAGTGTGTGAGTGTGTGGGTGAGTGTGTGGCTGAGTGTGTGTGTGGGTGAGTGTGTGTGTGGGTGGGTGAGTGTGTGGGTGAGTGTGTGAGTGTGTGGTGGGTGAGTGTGTGGATTACTGTGTGAGTGAGTGAGTGTGTGGGTGAGTGAGTGTGTGGTTGAGTGAGTGTGTGGGTGAGTGTGTGGGTGAGTGAGTGAGTGTGTGGGTGAGTGTGTGGGTGAGCGAGTGGGTGGGTGAGTGTGTGGGTGGGTGAGTGTGTGGGTGGGTATGTGGCTGAGTGTGAGTGAGTGTGAGTGTGTGGGTGGGTGAGTGTGTGGGTGGCTGAGTGTGTGGGTGAGTGAGTGTGTGAGTGAGTGTGTGTGTGGGTGAGTGTGTGAGTGAGTGTGTGTGTGGGTGAGTGTGTGGCTGAGTGAGTGGCTGAGTGTGTGAGTGAGTGTGTGAGTAAGTGTGAGTGAGTGTGTGGGTGAGTGAGTGTGTGGGTGGGTGAGTGTGTGGGTGAGTGTGTGAGTGAGTGTGTGTGTGGGTGAGTGTGTGGCTGAGTGAGTGGCTGAGTGTGTGGGTGAGTGAGTGAGTGTGTGGGTGGGTGGGTGAGTGTGTGTGTGGGTGAGTGTGTGGCTGAGTGAGTGGCTGAGTGTGTGGGTGAGTGAGTGAGTGTGTGGGTGTGGGTGGGTGGGTGAGTGTGTGGGTGAGTGTGTGAGTGAGTGTGTGTGTGGGTGAGTGTGTGGCTGAGTGAGTGGCTGAGTGTGTGGGTGAGTGAGTGGCTGAGTGTGTGAGTGAGTGAGTGTGTGAGTGAGTGTGCGTGAGTGAGTGTGTGGGTGAGTGTGTGTGTGGGTGGGTGAGTGTGTGGGTGAGTGTGTGAGTGAGTGTGTGTGTGGGTGAGTGTGTGGCTGAGTGAGTGGCTGAGTGTGTGGGTGAGTGAGTGGGTGAGTGAGTGGCTGTGTGGGTGGGTGAGTGTGTGGTTGTCATAGCTGTCAACCCATACGGTTTACCCGTTATTCTTATTCACGAAAATTGAGTTTACAGGTCCATGCGCCGTTTCAATGCGGGCAAAACAACATAATGTTTTGTCTATGTGTTTGTGTTTCTCCCTTGTGATGGCACTTTGCAGGATGAACGTTGAGATTTATAAGAGGCACGGGGTGACCAGCAAGGTCTGAATTGGTCTGTAATAATTAGGTAGGGCACTTATACGGGGTTGACATGTGTGTTAGTAACTAAGGGTAGTCTCAATAGTAACTACGGGTAGTCTAAATACGGTACAATTATACGGAGATTGCCTCGTCGTGTTGTTAGCGAGAACCTATTGCAGCGCCTAGGTCTACTCGGCCTTAATTTAGTACCATACAGTGCGCACACTTCACGCGCATTTATTCTGCACTTAATACAGCACTGTACGCACACTTGTGTACTGTACACGTAGCGACACACACAAAGACAAAGATCCCCCGTGTAGCTTCTAACATACTGTAGGGGCAAGTGCTGTTAGCGAGCACCTATGAAGCACAGCACACGAGGGGGTGGGGTGGACAGCACCACGCCCGGCCGCCTTTGTCTCCCCAGTGGCGATGTTTGCACATCGCACCAGGTACTCGTTTGAGGCCGAGTCGACCTAGGGGAGGCCCAGGACAGGTTCAGATAATCGTCACCGGTGGTGGCCGTGAGCGGGAATCGAACTCGGGTCGCCGGGTTCGTAGCGCAGCGCGCTAACCGCTGCACCACCGCTCCCCACGTGTACAAAAAAATGCAGTATGTACATCCATACGCAGACGTACATCCAAAGACATGCACTCCTATGCCGCCCGTACACACAACAACAACAACCGCCTTTCCGCTATTAATTGACGGCTACGTCATCACGGCAGCTTGTGCCAGGCTAGGTGCACCTTGAGGTCACGTGCGGTGTGGAAGTCTCTCCGGCAGGAGGTCACGCGATACAGACCCAGCCAGGTATTTCGGGTTGACCTTCACCTGAGATGACCGCCAGATGCCCCACCTGTGCTCCAGACTGTGCCAAATTTGTCGCGTTTTAACCGCCCCGGTCGCTCCGCTCGTTGTTGTGAGCTTCGTTCCTTTAGCCCTCCATTATACCACACATCCGCTAACCGCTACACCACCGCTCCCCACGTTAATACACAAAACACACACAGACACAGAGATAGCGTTACCTACAAGGGCATCGGGCGATCAATAACAAACGCGCGGCTGCCTTTGTCTCCCCAATGCTGTTGTTTACTACACACCGCGCCGAGGTACGGTCCTCGTTTGAGGCTGAGTCGACCTAGAGGGGGGTGGGGTGGGTGCCCAGGACCGGGAGTGTACTCACACACGCACACTTCTCCCAATGCTGCCTTGTGGTGTAAGATTCACGCTGGCTACGGTCACAATGTGTTTGCCAATCCTCACCTGCCCCTGCCACCCCCAAGGGAGATGGGAGCCATGCTGCAAGCCCTGTGCGTCGTCATCACTCTCGCACTCTTCGCCGGAGCCTCCGTCTCCCAGGATGCCAGTTTGACTCCCAGCCCAGGTGAGAGGCAGCCTGGCTTGCCGAATAAAAACCCTGGGACAATGCCCCACCACCCCCCTGGATCTCGGTAGACCTTGCGCTTGGATAACACTGGTCAACAAATTTTTTTTTTCTGGCCTGGACTTTTGCAGCTGTTTTAGACTAATTTCAGGGTGCTATCGGCATACCCCATTTTCATTGATTTTACCCAAAGTTAACTGCCACTTATGATTGCAAGTTGTTGCGAGTCAGTGACTGCTTTAGTGTTAAAATATGGTGCTGTATTTTTAGGATAGTGTGTTTATAATATCATTTGATGTAGATATGCACATTTATTTAATATTTTTCTTCTGCAGTTTTTATTGAAAATGCAATATTTGATATTTCAAAAACCTGATGTGATTGACAAAAACTGATGCCAGATTTGGAATCAGTTTTTGTCAATCGCAAAATTACCTTAAAACCGTTGGAATACCTCGTGCCAGAAAAAGTGTGTTGACCAGTGTAATCGCTCGTGTGGTTGTTTGCAGGCCGGGGTTGCCGGGGTTGCGAGGCGGGTCATGGCAAGGCCGTAATTATAATATATTTTGGGGGGGACACATCCCCCCCCCCCCCCAATATTCAAATATGCTCAAAATGTCCCCCCCAATATATTGCTTTAAAATAATAATTGCTATGCTATGTAAATAAAAACAACAATTTGCTAAACCTTGGCCACAATATCTGGGATTGTCTTCATATAAATCAATGCATAGATTTATGTTCATATGATTGTGGTTATGGTTGTACTTTATTAATCACTAAATTCTGCCATTATATACAATGAAATAAGAAATGGTAAAAAAGTAAAAACAGGGCAATGTAATACATTACACTATTAGACATTATTGTAAAAATAAATAAAAAGTCCATCCCATGTGTTGGTGACTTTTTAAATATTTTAGGCAGGAAATGAGTTTTCAAATTTAGATATTTTTCTGGATTGGGACTCCGAGACACCCTAGAAGATTTGGTCCCCCCCAATGTTGACTCCATGGCTACGGCCTTGGGTCAGGAGATGGCAATGGTTTGTTGTGTCGATCTGTGTGGAGCTTTGAGTAGTATCCCTCCCCACCCCACCTCTGACCTCCCCCCCCATTTTGTGTGGCAAGGTTTTCTCGCACGCTCGTTTGTAAATCGGCCAAACATCCTCATGTAGCAGGACCCTCTCCATAAATATTCTTGAGACTCAAACCGTGGCTTTCCTGGGTCGAATGTTTGGCAAATGTGAGTGGCAATGAAAAGATCGCCCACCTTGTCTGAACGGCCTCCAGCAATTCCACGTTGCCACGGCGTAAGAGCCACAAGCACATCCACAGCGTAACCGTTTTGCCCAACGCGTCCAGATTTTTCCCGTGGGGGCGAGTCCCTTGTGGCAAGACACCTGTACATATTATAGGATGGTATACTCAAGTGACCGTGGTGTGCCAGTGGAGTTGGTGTGCAAGTGGAGTTGGTGTGCAAGTGGAGTTAGTGTGCAAGTGGAGTTGGTGTGCAAGTGGAGTTGGTGTGCAAGTGGAGTTGGTGTGCAAGTGGAGTTGGTGTGCCAGTGGAGTTGGTTAGCCGAGGCGGCCCAGCGGTAGAGCGAGCGGCTCGCAATCGGGAGGTCGTGAGTTCAAACCCCGATTGCGGGAGGGACTTACTCACGCACGGTCTCATCCAGCAGTGGAACAGCTGCCGTTAACCGGCTCTCTTCATTCCGGCCTCTTGGTGATTTCGCGGCCACGCCGTGCTCTCTTGGGTCGTACCGCGCGCTGTTCATCGGCACGACGCCCGACGTTTCGCCCTGGGACCTTCTTGGGGAAACCGACTTGATCGAGCCGCCTTGTTCCCCCCGGTCACCACGCCGCGCTGCTGCCAGCCGCCCCGTCTCTGCCGACACGTTTTTATCCCCCCCCCTTTTCTTTCCGCAGCGCCGTCCGCCGCCGCCGCCGCCGTCGTCGCGACCTCCGACCTCATCCTGGGGAAGAACTCGTCGCTCGCGCTGCTCGAGTGCCGCCTCGTGCCGTCGGGCGACGAGGTGGTGGCTCGCTCGTGGCTCCACAATGGCTCGAAGATCCACGGCGACTGGGTGCCGAGCAACTACATGAACCACACGTGAGTCACGGCCGCACCATCGAGGTTGTTCTTTAGCTCGCCGCGCTGACGTGCCGTCCGTCCGGTTGTGCCGTCGGGGTTGAGCCGCTGTGCGTCTGCCCAGCGGGATGCCCCACCGGAGGACGGCCGACACGTGGGTTCGATCCCAGAAGCTCGGCGGTGACGTCTCGCTGCTCATGAGAAGCCGTTGCTGGGGCTGCGTCGATTCACCCTCCACACCTCCCAGTCATTGAAATTGATAATGGGGGAGCCCTAGTCGTACCGCGCGGTGTCCGACGTTGCGCTGCCCGTGCTGGGAGCTTCTGCAGCGGAGCGTGCGGAACAGCGTGTGCAGTGCAACCCAAAAACACACGGGAGAGATCGCAACAAAGAGCAGCACTATTGAAGGTGTGAATACGTTTCTGGTATGATAATTGTTTTTTTTACCCTTTTATCTGGCAACAAAACTGACACCTTTTTTACAAGGAGTCATGTTTGCATAGACCACAATACCTGCAGTCATAATGCAAACAAAAAACATAACTCTGATAATGTATGCACTGTCCTTGAAGTTGATTGGTCCACACCCGAGACAGCTTTCCTTAGAGCCTAGTCTCACATGGTGTTGGACCAGATGACGCCAAAAGGCGCACAACTCAAAGACAATGCACCATCAGAGTATGAGAGCTCGGGGTAAGCATTTACACCATTGGAACCTCATTTGCCAGTAAAAGAAGGGTAAAAAACCAATTATCATATTTTTTACTGGCAAATGAGGTTCCAATGACGTTTCTGGTAGTCGATACGTGTTAATACGTTTCTTGCATTGAGCAAGGTTATTTTTGTTGTAAGAGACGACGATGATGATGATGGGAGGAGGAGGATGGAATTACAAAGTGGAGGAGTGAGAGGGAATAATCTGAAAAATAAGTGAGGTGACCTGTAGTGTGGTGATTGTGTGGGTGAATGCGTGGGTGAGTGGGTGTGGTAAAGTGCACATAGCCTGGCACAAGCGCCATGGTGAAAGTCACCGCCACTTCGTGGCGAATGGCGATTGCTGAGTGGGTGAGTGAGAGCGATTGGTTAGGTGAGCGAGTGTGTTGTGCGGTGGTTGAACACAGTGTGGATTAGAGGCCGACCGAAACTAAATTTCTGGTTTCGGCCGAAACCAGACCGAAAGTAAAAAATAGACTTTCGGCCGAAACTGAAGCCGAAACCGAAAGTTTAACAACACTTTTGACCGAGACCGAAACAGGAAGGTATATAACCAAAGTTACCGAACACAAGATTCATGAAATATGTTACGATGCAATGCTACTTTAATTAAACATAAATCTAGAACTAATTATTCAGAGCCTGCAGTAAGAGTTGCTAAATATCAAATCTTTAGGTGTTACTTACTTAGTAATTATATCCATAAACTAACGAATGTTGTAGTTAAGAAACAACAGTTTTTCCGCATTCAGCCAGACATTCTGTTGACCGGTCGTATATACATTAGCAGACCATGGCTGCGGCTGTAACCTCGCTCCCAAGCTGCTGCTGCTGACGTGTGTGTGTTTGCAGCCTATCGCATAGGATTGCCTAGCGCCGACTGACCGGCCGATAGGCAGAGTGATAGACGTAGCACTAGCGTTACATTCTACAAATAGATCTTCGGTTGACGAATGACGACCGAAAGTCAATATCAGTTTCGGCCGAAACCAAAAGTAAATAATTGACTTTTGGCCGAAACCGAAAGTATGCCGGAAAAGGCCATTTGCCAACTTTCGGCGCCGAAACCGAAACCGAATTTCGGTCAGCCTCTAGCGTGGATGAGACGCAACAGTCGGTCTGCAAAACCGATGCCTCCGCATGGATTGACGAATCGCCGAGCGGTAGTAGGGTAGTAGCGACAGAAGAGCGTTGAAGAGGCGACTGACCGCTGGAGCAATGAGTTCGGCTCGGACGCACACGGGTTTTAAGAAGTCACGGTTTGCACGCAGCGAGAGTGCACGAGACTGGTGGTGGAGTCGCAGCCAAAGGGGCGGAACACGCCCCAGAAGTTCCCGACAACCATCTCCGGAACGGTCTCGCTTGAACGAGCGCGAGGGCTTGGGAAGGCCTTCATCCAGCAGTGGACAGACTGCGGCGTGCGCTGGCGATGACGCCAACGATGACAAGCACGTGTGTTGACCCGCGACGTTGCCCTTGGCTGAGCTCTCCTTGTCGCGCCATGACGCCGGTCTGCTGCACTTGGCACCGTTTTGTCAACACAGTTTGCCCATATTTTGGCAACCGCCGTTAATTGCTGCCAAGCCAAAACTAACTCATCCGGTTTTTTCACATTGCTTACATTTTTTATTTTCACCCAATGTTCTACAAGAGACGAGGAGTCATCACCCCAACCCCCCCCTACCCCCCTGCCAAACAACACGACCTTTGGCAGAAGACCGCGTTGCAAAGTCTGCGGTAGGCCTCAGCAGGGTAAGGTAATTTACCCTTAAATTTCGATTTAAAGCTTTCGTGACTGCAGGGATTCATCTTCTTGGTTCTTTCGGTAAAGTCATGTAGAAGGGAAGTAATTTACCCTTTTTACCAGGTAAAACCGGGTAAAAGAGTAAAGGTAAAGGTGTCGACATGCCAAGGTAAAGGGTCGGGTAAAGGTAGCGTGGAAGAATTACCCGGTAAACACCTTGTGTTTACCGTAAACACCTTGCGTTTGCCGCTCGCTAAAAGCTCCGTGGCGCAGTCCGTGGCCTCCATTTAAAATTGGAATCATCGAGAGTATTCTACATGAATAAAGCGCTCTACCTAGCATTTACCTGTTACAAACCTTCTTCATGTGTAGCAGTACCCCAGTAATTACCCTGTCATCGGGCAATGTGTATGGGGTAAGGGTAAAAGGTAGGGTAAAGGTAGGCTCGTTGTTTTTACACTTTTACCTTACCTGCTAAAGGGTAAAAGGTAGGGTAGAGTGATTGTATTGTGGTAAGGTAAAAGGTAGGGTAAAGGTAGGCTCGTCGTTTTTACCTTTTACCTTGCCTTGCCGAGGCCGAGTCTGCGGGTACGACACCGCACGGGGGCAAGCCGCGGCATGAGTAACCAATCGCAGGCCCGCGCCAATTGCCTCTCGCGGAATGAAAGGGTTCTCACTGAGCTACAATTACACTCGTCGTTGTAATCTCCGCAGCCCGCCGTGCATTTAAAGTTCCCGTTCGTCGCGATGATGATCGGCGTCGTAACGTCGCCTCGTCCAAAGGGTAGAAGGAAGTCCGGCTCGACGAATACCCTCGAACTTTGTGGCTGCGTCTCGTTGTCGTCATCGTCATCGCCCCGTAACTTGCCACAACTGGGCCTCCACAACACAGGTCGCAAACGGGTTTTGATTCCTTACCCGTACCCGTACCCGGCCGCACCAGGGTCGCAAATGCGTACCCGTACCCGTACCCGGCCGGGTACGGGTACCCGTTCCCTACCCGTACCCGTACCCTACCCGAAGTGAGTGACAAACGGTTACTCACCAGTGACTCACGGCCTACCCGTACCCGTACCCGGCCGCACCAGGGTCGCAAACGGGTACCCGTACCCGTACCCGGCCGGGTACGGGTAGCCGGGTATCGGGTAGGGTATGGGTATCGGGTACCCGGTTGCGACCTCTGCTCCACAATGGCCGTTGATGCGGCCGTTCTTGTGCTTTCAGCGTTCGTAGCTTGCTCGAGGCCGGCGCTTACACCTGCCTCTTCGGCAGCAAACACAACTCCTGGAACGCAACCGTTCTGGTCAAAGGTGAGCGGTCACGAGATTCAGATACGGTCGGTCATCGAATCATCCGGCGCACCGATTGTCCGGCTGCTTCCAACATTTATCCGGTGGTCCCAGGCCAATCCGGTGACACCGGCAAATCGCTCGAAAAGCGGTAAACAGTCTGGAGATCGGTACCACTGTGTGTAGCGTTACAAAAAAAAGTAGCTTTGCTTGATTTCAGTGTTAAATAATACATACAGTGCATTATACACTACATACAACTTAAACAATGAAAATACTGCACGTTTATACATCGCCCCATGCAGAATCATCGAGGTTAGAGTGGTAAGTATGGTACAGTAAATACAGTAACTTTTTAAAGTAGGATATGTATTTTTGTCTATTTGTTTATTCATGCCAATGTCATCTAGTAAACTAATTTGAAACGCACAAAAATACTACAGCACCTAAAAACATTACGCCATACAAGAATGTGTCAAAAAATAAGCTACTTTAAATAATGATGATCGGTGATTATCCACCGTTTTTGAAAATCTCTCCCGAAGCCGCCGGATAATCGGCGATCTCCTGCATTACGTGCGTAATCATGCCACCCCCTTTCGTGTGCCGTGCCGGCCTTCATAAGGTTGCTCGCCGACAGAACTTGCCCCAACAGTCTGTTAAGTCTACACGGGCGATCTTCGCATAGAAATCAAACTGACGACCCCTGCGTTGCAAGCGCAACGCTCACCATCGTCCCCCAATGCGAGCACTGGCGGGGTGGCACTTGAAACACGATGGGGCAGAGTTTTTTAAACCCCCACCCCCGCCCCCATCCGCACCGCCTCTGTGCTCCGAGCGGCTTAAATGGGGACGCCAAAGTCGATCGGCAAGTCGCGTGCGGTGGGGTTAAATGTGGGTACTCTCACCCACTCCAACATGTCAGCGTGGAAGAGTAGGCCAAATTACCCTCCGCTAGAGGCGCCTCTCGCTCTCCAGAGCTCCGTCTCGTCGAGGCCTTTCCAGTGGCCCCGTTAACTTTTGCAACAAAGCCAAAGGTACCCCCCCCCCCCCCCCCCCGCGTAGGCGTCGGGGGCAAGTCGCTCGCCCTGCCGCGGCGCTGACTGCCCCCGTCCCCGCGTCGCTCTGCTCGCAGCCGCCCCCCAGTTCGACGCGGTGTCGTCGGGGGGCAAGAAGGAGCACAAGAAGGACCACAAGAAGGACCACAAGAAGGAGCGCAAGCTGTCGGCGTACATCGGCCACAAGACCGTGATCAGTTGCCACCTGGCCTTCCAAGGCTTCCCGACCCCAACCTGGACGTGGTTCAAGCTGTCTGCGGACAAGAAGACGCTCACGGTGAGTGGACGTGCGAGCGAGCGAGGACGAGGTCGGGCACCTGGCCTCAGAGGTCGCAACCGGGTACCCGATACCCATACCCTACCCGATACCCGGCTACCCGTACCCAGCCGGGTACGGGTACCCGTTTGCGACCCTGGTGCGGCCGGGTACGGGTAGGCCGTGAGTCACTGCTGACTAACCGTTTGTCACTCATTTCCCAACGTCTTGTCTTTTCTCACAATTCAAGTTCCTAGAATCAACCCACCCGCGCCTGCAACATGGCTTCATCCCAGAGGTCGCAATCGGGTACACGTACCCTACCCGATACCCAGCCGGGTACGGGTAGCCGGGTATCGGGTAGGGTACGGGTATGGGTACCCGTATGCGACCCTGGTGCGGCCGGGTATGGGTACGGGTAAGAAATCAAACCCCGTTTGCGACCTCTGCCTGGCCTGCCTTTCCCAGAATCCCCTCCCTACCCCCCCCCCCCCCGAACTCTTGCTGCTCCAGCTGCCCGCCCGGCAAATCTGTCGGTTTAGTTATAATAATTATATGATGATGATAGTGATAATTATAATATATCCCACTTAGTGGATTTGCATGTGGGTCTCCCCTTCTCTGGCACTGTGAGATATTCATCTTCTTTCCATGATGTGTCCCAGGGGTTTGAACCTCGGAGGCGGTAACCCTACGCACAGGGTGCGTGGGTGAAGTCTTTAACACCGAGATACGTATAAGGTGGGTGGGTTATTGGTGGGTGGGATGGGTGGGTAGGTCGGTGGATGGGTTTTGGATGAGTGGTAGGTGGGTCAGTGGGGGTGGGTGGGTGAGATTTCGGTGGCTGGTAGGTAGGTGGGTGTGTCAGTGGGTGGGTGGGTTTTCGGTGGGTGGGTGCCGGAGGTCTTTGACATCATCATGAAGGTGATCATGACGTTTACCGTGATCCTGGTGATGACTATCATGATGATGCTGATAATGATGATGCTCATGATAATGCTGCTGCTGCTGACGATCAACGATGCTGCTGATCACGATCACGACGACGCCCATGGTGATGTTGCCGATGACTGTAACGACGACGTTGCTGACGCCCATTTTGCCCGGTGACCTTCGCGGCGCGCGCAGCCGCTGGGCGACGCGGAGAGCGAGAGTGGCGCGAAGACGCAGCACGTGATCGCCGCGGTCTCGCGCGAGGACGAGGGCGAATACCTGTGCGTCGCCAGCAACGACGCCGGCTCCAGCAACGACACCGTCACCTTCAAAGTACGACGTGGGGGGAGCCGTGCGCAATTCTCAATGCCGCCGACGCCGACGCCCTTGAACGTAGCGCCGCAGCCGGGTCGGTGGGGCCCAACAAACCAAGGCTCTCACCACGCTTGACCAGCCGGATGATTGGCAAACGTGACACGCAGAAAGACAACGATCCCCCCCTTATAGCATTAACAGAATGTTGGGGCAAGCGCTGTTAGCGAGCACCTAATGAAGCCCGGCATGGCACGCGAAGGGGTGGGCGGCCAGCAGCATGCCCAGCCGCCTTTGTCTCCCCAGTGGCAATGTTTACACGCCGCACCGGGTACTCATTTGAGGTCGAGTTGTAGGTGCGTACGTTGAACTTCTTTCGCACCGTACGTAGCCAACCGTGCTAATTGGAGGTGCGGGGGAAGGACAACAAACTAAACACAAAAAGCAGTCGACCTAGGGGTGGCCCACGACCGATTCGGACAATTGTCACTGGGTGTTGGCCGCGAGCGGGAATCAAACTCGGCTCGCCGGGTTTGTAGCGCAGCACGCGGACCACTGCAACTACCGCTCCCCACAACTCCCCACAAATGCACACGTACACGCACACACGCACTCGTACACGCACACACACACACGTACACGCACACACGCACTCGTACACGCACACACACACACGTACACGCACACACGCACTCGTACACGCACACACACACACGTACACGCACACACGCACTCGTACACGCACACACACACACGTACACGCACACACACACACGTACACGCACACACACGTACACGCACACACACACACGTACACGCACACACGCACACACACGTACACGCACACACACACGTACACGCACACACACACACGTACACGCACACACACGTACACGCACACACACACACGTACACACACACGCACACACGTACAAAGACAACAAAGACAAACATTTCCCGTGCAGCCTTAACAGACTGTTGGGGCAAGTGCTGTTGGCGAGCACCTACGAAGGCCGGAACGGCACGCGAGGGGGTGGGCGGCCAGCACCACGCCCAGCCGCCTTTGTCTCCCCAGTGGCGATGTTTTTTGCGCACCACAGCAGGCACTCATTTGAGGCTGATCCGACCTTGGAGAGGCCCATGTACACACACACACGCGCGCGCGGGATTGCTATCTTTGACTGAAACCGGCGTTCTCTGCACCACGCGCGCTCACGACGGCGGCGTCGATGACGAGGACTTGTCTCCTGACCGGCCGCTCGCCTCGCCGTGCCCGGGTTCGACCCCCCCCCTCCCCCCCCCCAGGTTCACGACCTACGTGACGCAGTGTGGCCCTTCCTGGGCATCGCCGCCGAGGTGGTCGTTCTCATCGTCATCATCTTCGCCTGCGAGAAGATGGGGCGCAAGAAAGCGACGGCCACCCCTGTCGGTACGCCGGCGCGACCCGCCTCTGCTACTCCGCTGCTGGATGACCGTCGATTTCCCCCCCCCGTGTTGGTCGGGGCGGTGTGTTTGCCGAAAGCGGGAACCGTAGAAGCAGAGTACAGCGAGGGATGTTTTTGCCGCGCTGCCCGCGACACGTGTTTGTACATCGGTGATTTAGTTTGACCATACTTCACCATTCTGGTCTACCCATTCATATTATTAATTTGTTGTACTATGTTTTGTTACTCTTAGGTTTTTTCGGTAAAGTCACGTAGGTAAAAAATTTCAATTAATAAAAGTAAAATAAAACAAATTAAAAAATTCACGACGTTTTGGATGCAACACAAGCCTCCGTCTTCAGGTGGAACCGTCACAGCCACGACAGCTGTATCAAGTAAATGAGAGATCACAAGAAATACTACCCCGTATATATAATGGTTGAAGGGGGAAGGGCCAGGAACGGCACACTTTTTTATTAATATGGTAAGGTGAGGCTTAAGACCAAGAGTATGTTTTGTTCTTCACCACGGCGCCTGTGCCAGGCTAAGTGCACTTTGAGGCCACGTGAAGTGTCGAGCGCCCGCTGGCAGGAGGTCACGGGACAGACCCAGGTGCCACGGGTCGACTGACCGAGATGATTGGCTGATGCACCACCTGTGCCCCCTACTGTGCTAACTTGCTGTGCTTTAGCTGCCTGGCGCTCCGCTCGTCATTGTGAGCGTCGCTCCAGCTGCCCAGCAGCGTCCTTCACGAGCCTCCTCCCCCATACGGCCTTGGGGAGAGAGGCATCAATTCAGGAGTAGAGCAATGGAGAGCTGTACATGCATTGTTACCTGCTTAATATGACTTGTTGTTTGTATTTGATGCTGTACTCGACGTATTTGTCTACTAAACGGAACGCGTGTTTCTTGTTTCTCCGGTTCTTGCAGAGGATGACGGAACTATGGCACTGTAAGTCCACGTGCGCACACACACACTCACACACACACACTCGCACACACACGCGCACACACACTCGCACACACACGCGCACACACACTCGCACACACACGCGCACACACACTCGCACACACACGCGCACACACACTCGCACACACACGCGCACACACACTCGCACACACACGCGCACACACACGCGCACACACACGCGCACACACATTCGCTCACACACACGCTCACACACACGCACACTCACACGCACACTCACACGCTCACACACACGCTCACACACACACTCACACACACTCACACACACACTCACGCACACACGCTCGCACACACGCTCGCTCACACGCACGCTCACACACTCACACTCACTCACACTCACACACACACTCACACACACACTCACACAAAGAAACCAAAGGTGCCCCGTGTAGCCTACACATAACCATCAGGGCAAGTGCTGTCGGCGAGCAGCTATGAAGGCTGGCACGACGCACGAAGAGGGTGGTGTGGTCATAGCACCACGCCCGGCCGCCTTTGTCTCCCCCCCCCCCCCCCAGTGCTGATAATGTCGCGTACCTCGCACACCTATGCTGTGTTCACGTAACAACAACAACAACAAACAAACAAGCAAACGTCAACTCGTAACACTGCGCCGCCGCCGCACGGCGTCCGCTAAATTGCCCTCGAAGAGAGGGAGAGGGACGGCTGAGGGGTGCGAGGGGGTGACGGGGACGAGTGGTAAGGCAGCGGTAGCAGCGGGGCGGTGAGCCGGCGCCAAACGTTGCCCAAGCTCTGTGGTTCCCGACATATGGCGATGTTTTCGGCCAAATCAATGACGAGGATTTTACGTAGCGTTTTTTTGTCGAAGGCGCTTTACAAGAATTGCAAAGTGTCCGCTAGTTATTGGTCGATGGGGAAAAGTGAGTGTTGGGGTGGGGAAGGGATGGCAATGGAGGGTGGTGGTAGGGAAAGAGAGAGGGGGTGAAGTTAGGAAGAGGAAGGATGATATTGGTAGGAATCTCTTCTGGTTCCACCTGCCCACAGGGGATTATTGTGTCCGTCCGTCGTGCATCCAAAAATGGGAGGGGTGGGGCTGGGTGTAGAGGGGAGGGTGGGGAGGGGCTGGGTGGTGAGGGTGGGGCTGGGTGGGGAGGGTCTGGTCACCCCGTGGTGCCCTTATAAAACTCAACGTTTAACCTACTCACGCCGGCTTGTGCCCGCCCTCACAGTCGGGCATGTTTGCGGAACACACCACGCCGCCGTTGACCCTGGCCATTGACCGAGCAACCCAACGTTCCTACCAGCTCCCTCCGCAGGACAATGTGTTGAAGGGTGATGATAGGGAGGGCTGGCGAGGTTAGGAAGGGGGGGGGGGGGGTGGTTAAGGTTTGAAGGATGCGTGCAGGAAGTGGTAGAAGGGACACGCTATTGAAAAAAGATTATTCTCAAGGGAGGAACAAAAACGAACGATTGAAGTTGGCTGTGTTGACGTGGAGTCGGGAGTTTATTCCAACGGAGGGGAGCGGAAACGTGACTGAGTACAGAGAGGGAGGGGGGGAGGGCATAGTGAGGAACAATGGAGATTGTGAACGCAGGGGCCGAGATGAGAAGCGGAGCACCCTGGGAAAGACTACTGGAGGAATCCGATGAGCTGAGAAGCTCGTGTTCACGGATGTCCAGCAGGGGCACGGGGGAAGAGCGTTTCAACAACAAACGGTACAAAAACACGATAGGAATGCGAAGTACTAGAAAGGTAAAAAAAATCACCCAAACACACACAAACATTGAACCATCCTCGTCCTACCAGGCAAAGCCCACTGAGGTATCAACTTGTTTTTCAGAAGCGACTTGGTCACAAATGATAGCTCAACAAAGTGGCCCATCATTTGGACAGTTATAGCACCAAAATAATCTAAATAACTAAACGCGTGTTTCTAAATGTGGAGGGAAAACCCGGAGGTATAAAATCCACGCGAACACGGAGAGAGAGAGAGACACGCAAACTCCAAATATACAGCAGCAGGCGTCAGGGTTTGGATCGAACCCACGACCTCCTGCATACCAGGCGAGGGAGATTGATGGCATCCACACTCTGCCGGTAATGCCTTCTCCCGCCGAGCCAGAGTACGGGTCCTACTCGACACCCGCTTGATCCGCCAACCCTCGCTACCTCCGTAGTGCTGGGTTTGCAGGCCACGTGCCCAGGCACAACCACCACCACCGCCACCCCGGGCTAAGTATCGGATGTGTCACCGTGCCGCTCGTTTTGTCTGTCACGGTAACAGGAAGGGCGCAGCAGAGAATAGCCATGCCGACACGAAGGCCGTCAGGCAGAGGAACAGCAAGTAGACCGCCGTGCCTGACCGCACTCCGCACGACTGGAGGTAAGCGGGGGAGTGGAGCGCCAGGCGTGCAGTGACTCGCTTGCCGGTGATGTGCGATGGCTTTCCACGAATCAGGATTTGAGGTTCAGTTTGGTGTGGCTCAGAGGTGGTGAGGCCCAAGGGGGCACGTGGCTTTGCTGATGAATTTTACGTGGACCGCCTTGCGTGCCGCGTATCCCACGTGTTGGGCGTTGGCGTTGAATTTTATTTTTACACGCTTTCATTTAACTCACTGTCTGTTGTCGTCGTTGTTGTTGTCATTGTATCCTCAAATCTTGTAACTCAATTTTAACCCACTTCCCAATATGGTATCGACTTGGTATACTTATGTCATACTGATGACAATACTATATTCCATCATAAAAATAAAAAAATATGTATATTTTTAAACAGTCTTTTTTATATGTTATGTTTCGGCTTGGGTCTAATTGTCCACGCTCAACTGACGTTGGCTGTAATTGGCCACGGTCCCTTACATTATGGCAAGCTTCGGGGCCACTTCCTGGAGTCGTGGAGTTCTTCCCATTACTAGGACATTTCATAAAAGCGTGTTTTAAAAAAGTTTTAAAAAATATTACTTATTGTAAAGCACTCAGAACCCTGATTGACGTGAGGGCTGCTATGTAAATTACATTGTCTGCATTCCATGCATTTTGTTACTTGTCCTCTCCACAACGACGATCGTGGCTATTTGTGTCGTGCATTGCAGAGTTTTTTCGCTGAACCAGGACCCATATCTAACAGAGAGTGAGCCCTTGCCTAGTAAACATCTGGCAGGTCACCAGCATTAGTTCAAGCGAGCCTCACTCTGCTGCTGCTGCTGATGAGACGCTGGATGTTGCGCCGGTCGAGAGTTTGCTTCAGTTGAACCAAAAAAACAGAAATCACCGCCAGAAGGCCGCGTGGCCGATGGCATGTCTAAAAAACTACTTTTATATATTTTTCGTCACACGCAGGGCCCAGATGTGGGCAAGGAGCGTGCTGTACGCTTATTTACTTTACGACTTCAACAGGGCCGAATAGACCATACTTCACCACGCTGGCCAGCACGGGTCAGGTGAAGGGTTGGTGGCGCGCCAGGGCTGGGTTCACAACACTCGCTCGCCTCCCTCCCCGATGTTGGCCGTGGTTCGGAACTCGAATTCTTTTCGAGCCGCCGTGCTCCTATCGCGCTGCGCTAACCGTGGCGCCGCCGCTCCTTCCCGTTCTTCCTGCGATGGAACCCCATGTGGAGCTGGCGCGATGGGGGCGGCGGCGGCGGCTGCGACGCCCAGTGGAGACGGAGACGGCAGATTTGTTTTTCGAGTTGGGGGAAAGGAATTTAACGGCGCGGCGCCCCAGAGAGACGGGGATTTGTTTAAAAGATCTAATAACAATGGTAACAGCAGCCGCGCGCACTCTGACCCCCGCCGCCGCTGCTGCTGCCGCCTGCAGAGTTTCACTCGGGGCCTTTAAATGCAGACTTTGCCCACGGTGTACCGGCCAGCACCACCGGACTTGCGATCAAGAGGTCGCGGGTTCGATTTCATCTCCCCGGGGCGGTGGTTTGAAGCGACGAGGCTTATCTTTAAATCCACCTCCCCCTCCACCTCTCCTCCGCTCTGTCCAACCGGCGGTGTGAATGGGTCCGTGACAGTGAGCCAAGCGGCAGGCCGCGGGCGGCGGGGTTAAAGCGTGGGTGTTGCCGCCTCTTCCGAGTCGTCTGGCCAGCGTGGAAGAGTAGGCCAAATACCCTATGTAGAGAGAGGCTTCATATTCTTAGGTTTTTTTCGGTAAAGTCACGTAGGTAACATTTAAAATGAATAAAAGTAAAATAAAATAAAAATCACGACGTTTCGGAGGCAACACAAGCTTCCGTCTTCAGGTGGTACCGTCACAGCACGATAGCTGTATCAAGGAGAGAAATTCCAAGAACAGTATTTGTATATATACTGGTTGAGGGTGGGAGGAGCCAAGGTAGGCCCTGAATATTATTTTTGTGAGGTTCGGTGCGGCTGAAGCACGCTGTTAGGAATGAGCCTTTGTTGTGTAAACTGGATGCGGATGATGTAAAGGTGCGTGTAAATGGGACTGGGTGATGCGGCTGAAGGCTTCAAATCTAGTATTAGAAAACTCCCCGCCCACCTCCCACGCATTTCACAATTAGCACTGTTCGCATTCCTGCATTTCCCATAAATATGCTAAATTGCTAAATATGCTAAATTCCTCTTCAAATGCAAATTATTTTGTCAAGGCTCTCTTCCTCCTCCCTCACAGCTTAAATAGACACTCCAAGCCTAAGACGTGTCATTTAGACTCTGTCTTATCGACAGACATGTTCTTCACCTGAGGACGGCTGCTTGCGTTGTGGCCGAAACGTCGTGAGAATTATTTTATTATGTTTTATTTTTATTATTTTATTACTTCCCTTCTACGTGACTTTACCGAAAGAACCAAGACGATGAATCCCTGCAGTCACGAAAGCTTTACATCGAAATTTAGAGAGAAGCTCCCGAGAGCTCCCTCTAGTGGAGGCCGTTTCCGCTGGCAGTGGCACGCGCAGGCAGCCGCAGGGCCTGCTCCTTCACCCTCGACCGTGCCGCTACGCCCGTCAACAAACAACATTGGCGGCAGCTGACGCAGGATCCACCCTCGTGTTCCCACGCCGGGGCCAAGATCCGCAAGCTCGCCGTCGGTTTCCTGCGCCGCGTGGTGCCGCTGCCGGCGCAGCTGCAGGCGCGGTCTCTGGCTGTGTGAGCGCGCGTTGTTCCGCGCGTTGTTCCGCGCGATGTCCCCGATGTTTTCTCCGCCACCTGCCAGCTCAAGCCTTCCCGTGCATCGTGTGACTCCCTGTGTGGCCACCCCGAATCCCTCCGCCGCTCTCATGGACACATCTCTGTATCTCCATGTGAAACTAGCTGAGGCCTCCCGTAACTCGCGTGACTTCAGTGAGTGGCCACCCCCACTCTGAGCCCCTCACGTCACCGCTCACTTGCCGTGCAAAATATATCCATTATTGCGCCCCCTCCCCCCCCCCCCAAATACAAAAGTCGATTTACGTTTTGCATTGTGTACAGACTGGAAGCTACTCACATGCCAAATTTCAAGTTTGTTGCATGTTGGCAAGTATGCTAAACATTTTAAACAGTCACACACATTCACAAATTTCCCTTATATATAGATACCCCATGCCTTTACAGGGGCCATTTGAAGAAGGGTTCTCGGTGCTAGCTCTGTGATATCCGCTTCTGCGCGCCATCCTCTAACACAGCAGTGACTCACTCGTCGGCGATTGCTCTCAATAAAAACGTCTCTCTATCTAAACCAGCTCAAGCCTCCCGCGAACCACGTGACTTCTGTGAGTGGCCACCCCCACTCCGAGCCCTCCCCCTCGCCCCGCCCACTGTGAGAACAGACGCCGCTCCGTGCAGCAGCAGCACTAGCAGCGAGTCCCTGACGCAGCCCTCTCTCTCTCTCCTCGTCTCTCCTGGCCCTGTGCTCCCGTTCCTCCGCTCT